CGCTGCGTGCACAGACGGTCAAGTCACAGAGAAAGCGAAAGGCAGCGGTGAGGGCGGCAGGAGGACCTGGAGGGCTTTCTGGGAGCTGGCGATGTTTAGGTCTGGATTTGAGTGATGGTTACAGAATATTAGATAGTTTTCTTATAATTATTCATCATACTGAATATTTAACATGTTGCTAAAAAAAAAAAAAAAAAAAAAAAAAACCTTAAAAACACAAGAGAAAGCTGATGCAGAGTCTCTATAATGACCGTATGTCCACATCTCACTGACATCATTCCCAACCACTCTGTTCTCAACACCCTGTTCTTTTTGCCTTTTCCCTCCTTAAACACAGCAAACGCTCTCTGACCACAGGGCCTTGGCACTGGCCAGGACTCAGAGCCGGTTCTCTTGTAGCGCTCATCCTCCCCTCTATACCACACTGCCCATGGCATCTCCAGGCCCAAGCCCAGTCCAAACAAACCCAACACAAACAAACAAGAAACCAAGACAGCCAGGATGCCTGGGTGACACCCCCCCCTCCCCCCAGAGGCCTCTAGTAATGAGCCCCAGGCCTTTCTCGCTTCTTTCTTTCTAATCCAAAATTTGGAAAAGAGAAGGAATGCAAATTGAGGGGAAGGAAATTCACATTTATTGAAATCTACTTAACACGCCCTTCCCCAGGAGCTCTGAAAAGGACTTCCCTTCCGAGCTTTGCAGCAGCTTTGGAAGGTGTGTACTGTAAGGGCCAGCATTGGTGTAAGGAATCTGAGTCTCGGATGAGTTTTATAACTTGCCTAAGGTCACACAGCAGGATCTTCCCAGAATCCCTGCCAGCCCCAAGGACCCGCCAATCAAAACTGGGGCTGATATAAGCAAAGGAGGAGACACCATGCGACAATAAGAATCATGGAAGCCCCCAAAAATCTAAAACAAATCATAAATTGTTGGCCTGGGAACCTCATCTGACCACAGAAGAGTTTTGTTAGGTCAAGAGCATCATGCTTATTTGTTGGAATCCACACTTCTTAAAAGTGAGAGGGTTTCACAGTTACAACCTGCACGTTCAGCCACAATTCTGTGGGCCCTGAACCCCCAGCATGGGGTACAGCCTGCCCACCTCATAGCAGGCACTCATGGGCTTCCCACTGACCACGGGGCTCACCAAACCTGGCATCTCACCCTCTCTGCAGCCCGTGTTTCTTGTCATTTGTCCCCAGGATCCAGCCCTTTTCTCTTATTTAGGTCACCTGCCTGGCCTCGTACAGGCAGCTACCTTTCTTGTCACTCATCTGGAACAGAAAGGGTAGGATTTTAAAGGAGTAAATGCAAAGTCCTAGTCTTGGGTCTGAAAACTTAACTGCAGCTGCACAGAAGCAGCCAGAGCTCTACAACCTCATGGAGCCTTCATGACTGTAGTCCACATGAATTAACCAGGCACCTTCCCATGCATCCTACCTAGAGGGTCCCGCCAGGAACGCACAAGGTCAACAGGGAAATGCACCAGAAGCATGGTGATGGGAAATGTGGGGCACAGGCAATTCCTTATGGGAACGGAGGAGGCTGAAGAGAGACCAATTCTAGGCCAAGTGCCCTGGTTTCAGTATCTGCTCAGTTATCCAGGGGAAGCAGGAGGCTCTTCTGTAGCTGTCCAACAATAAAACCTAAGACTTCCAACTGGATACACTGAAGAACTTGCTATAAAAATGGACAGATAAATCCAAAGTTGCTCAAAAGTGTCTCAAGCTGCCATGAAAGACAAATTAGGAAAAAAAGAAAAAAAAGAAAGAGCATGGCAGAGCTATTCCAGCTAAGTGGCTTCAGGAAAGCCATGCTACTGTTTTGAGATTCGGTTTCCTATCTGTAAAATGGGCAGAATTTATAAAGTGTCAAGGACAGAGGTTAATAAAACCACTCAGAGGATACAGTAAGTGGCTGCTGCTTTTATGATACTTAGTGGCTTCTCTATCAACTGCCACTGCCATGTATTGTGTTATTCTAAGTGCTTTTTATATATTAACACATTTCATTAAAAACTATAGGTCCTATAGTTATTCCTATTTCATCAGTGAAGAGATGGAGGCCCTCAAGATCAAGAAACTTGGCCTCAGCGTCATACCCCTGGGTATCCCTGGCAGAGCTGGGATTTGAACCGGGGACATTCACCTTCCCAGTATAACCTTATGGCCACAACACTTATTGCCTCCTGCTTCCTGAACAAGGAAACAGGTCCTATTAAATGTTTTTTTCAGTCTCTTCCTCCTCTGCCCCTGTTAGGAGGGAAACCTATCTCCAAATGGGAATAAAAGCTACCGACCCAGGGAGGAGATTTTATATAGCAGGTGAAGGAGGGGTCAGGAGGACCCCCGTTTTCTGGTGTGGGCAGCTGGGTGGGTGTTCATGTACCTCTCGCTGAAATGGGAAGCAAGGATAAGTTGGTTGTCAAGGGGGGAAACCCCAAGTTTTTTGGTGACAAGTTCCATTTTGGTCAGGCTGAATTTGAAGGCCTTCCTAGCTGCCCCGGTACAGATAACCAAGGGCCACCTAGACATTTCCAGCATTCCTACCCCAAGTTCAAAGTTCCCCTCAGTGACTTTCCTGAGGAACATCCCTAACCCATGTCTTTCTCTACCTGCACGTACTCTGTCTAGGCATCGTCACCTTCGTGTCTATCGATACCACCCCCTTGTGCGGTAAACTCCCAAGGGTTAGGAACTTTCTTTATTCAACTTGAGAACCGTGATGCCCAGCAGTGTCTAGCAATAGCTGGTGTTCAATAAACATTTGCCGAATGAACTAATGACAGGGATCCAAGATGGGATGTATGTATATTTGGAAGTATATGAGTTTCCTATTACTGCTCTAACAAATTTAGTGGTTTAAAACAATACCAGTTTATTAACTTATAGTTCTGGTCAGAATTCTCACTGGGCTACAGCCAGGGTGTGTGTGTGTGTGTGTGTGTGTGTGTGTGTGTGTGTTTGGGGGGAGGAGGGGCGTTCCTTCCAGAGGTTCCAGGGAGGATCTGTTTCCTTGCCTTTTCAGCCGCAGGCAGAGCATATCCCCTGGCTTGGTCTCTTCCTCCATCTTCAAAGCCAGGATGTTTCCATATCTCTGACTCTGACCCTCTACTCTCCCTCTTCCATCTTTTAAAGATCCCTGTGATGACATGGTGCCCACCCAGATCATCCACAATCATCTCCCCATCTCAGGCCCCTTAATCACAACCGCAAAGTCCCTTCTGCCAGGTGAGGCCACAAATTCCCAGGTTCATGGGCGTCTTCAGACTCCTACACAGGAGTCATTCTCAAGAAAAGGGGATGTCAAGGGCCAGGAAAGGGCAGAGGTCACAGACAGTAACCATTGAGAGGAACATGATCCTAGCCATGTGATTTTTTCATTTCTCAGCCCCAGGGTTATTCCATAATTATAACAATTATTACTGAATTTGCATGCCCAACCCCCTTCATCCCATCACCTCACAAACGTGGCTCAGGCGGAACATGGAAAGAAGGCCCGAGACGGGTCCACACAGGGTCCCAACAGGAGTCCCAGGTCCTGATTCTCCAGAGAATGGCAGCAGTCTCTAACATCCACATCTCCAAGGCCATTTAGAGCCAAATCACAATTAAATAATTGTTTTAAAAATTAAACCAGCCCTACCAGGTTGGACTCAGTGGATAGAGTGTCGGCCTGCGGAATGAAGATTCCTGGGTTTGATTGGAGTCAAGGTCACATGCCCAGGTTGCAGGCTCAATCCCCAGTAGGGGGCGTGGAGGATGCAGCTGATCAGTGATTCTCATCATTGATGTTTCTTATCTCTCTCCCTTTTTCTCTAAATCAATTATGTGTGTGTGTGTGTATTATAAATATAAATATAAATATAAATATAAATATAAATATAAATATAAATATAAATATAAATATAAATATAAATATAAATATAAATATATTTAAACCAGACAGGGAGGAGCTTGCTTCAGGAATCTCATGGGCAGTGAGCCGCATGCCCACCCCATATCTGCACCCCAATGTGGTGGCAGCATACAGGAAGCCTGGCCTCTGCGAGCACACAGTGCACTTCTCTTCCTGCTCGCGAGGGTGAGAGAGAAAGCCTCTCTGCAGAGTAATCCCAGCCACAGGGGCTTGGCCGCCTGTCCACAGACAATGAGGCACCAAGCCCATGTCCCAGGGAAACCACAGCACCCCAAGTCCCAAAGGCCAAGTGGACAGCCCATCCAAGTCAGAGGGGCCAACACATGAACAAAATGTCGTCATCTAAGAAGCTCCCTTGCTATGAGACTGTAATAAGCGTAGCGTGTTGTATAAGTTTCCTATTGCTGCTATAACAAATTACCACAAAGTGGCTTAAAGCAACAAAAATGTAATACCTTTCAGTTCCAGGTAAAAATCAGTCTCCCTAGGCCCGTGGTCAGGAAACTGCGGCTCAAGGCCACATGTGGCTCTTTGGCCCTTTGAGTGTGGCTCTTCCACAAAATACCACAGCCTGGGCAAGTCTGTTTTGAAGAAGTGGCGTTAGAAGAAGTTTAAGTTTTAAAAATTTGGCTCTCAAAAGATTTTTCAATCGTTGTACTGCTGATATTTGGATCTGTTAACTAATGAATTTGCTGACCACTATTCTAGGCTGATCAAAGTGTGGGCAGGGTTGGGGCCTACTGGAGGTTCTGGGGAGAATCAGTTTCTACATTGTTTGCTCCTGGTGGCCTGGCCCTCTGCATTCCTTGGCTCTTGGCCCCTTCCTCCACCTTCAAAGGATATCTCTGCTGCTCCCGTCATGTCATCACCCCTGCTCACTCTGACCCTCCTGCTTCTTTCTTATAAGGACCTGGTGATGTCACTGGACCCTTCTGGACCATCCAGGATGCTCTCCCCAGCTCTAGGTCCTTAACAGCATCTGCAAAGTCCCCGTGTTCCATAAGAGAGCAGATCGACAGGTTCCAGGGATTAGGACCTGGACATCTTGGGGGACATTATTCACGCCAAACACAGATACCTCCCTTTCCACTTACTGCCCGGCGATCTGCAGCTGTGGGGTGCATCACTTAAAAGAAAGGCCAAAACTTACCCCTCCCCTCTGGCCTGCCACACTTAGTAAGCTAATAGGAACTGAGGCATAAGTTCTAGGACAGGGAAAGAGGACAAAATAGAGAAAAAAGACACTCCATATTTACAGCACCCCACCATGTGTCACATGCGGGGCCAGGTGGTTTGCACGCGCACACACACACACACACACACACACACAGAGTCTGGCCTCATCTTTGCCAGTTAACATTGGGAAACTGAGGCTCAGAGAGGTGAAGGAACTTGCCCAAGATCACACAGCATGCAAAATGGTTGATCTGAACTTCAAACCCAGGCCTGTCTGGCTCTCACTTTGTGCTTCTCAAGAAGAAGAAAAAAAACAAAAAAAACACTTGGATCTTTTTTTTTATTTTGGTCCCCAAAAGTTATTCCCTGTAAAACCTTTGCTTTGGGTAGGAAATTATGCAAAGCATTTGCCACTGCCCCCACTTGCTTGGTAACGGAGCAGAGGAAACCTATTTTGGGGCTTTGTGCTCCAGTGATCTGCTCGCTTGGCCTGAAGCTCACCACCCGTCGGGTGTGTTGGGGGTTTTTTCTGCAGAGGCCACTTCCTGAGGCTCGAATGAGGCAAGGTCTGCCCAGCAAGACCAAAGCTAGGTTCAAGGCAAGACCTGGGGTGAGAAGCAGGGCCAGCACTGAGCAGATCAAAGGCCCCCAAACAGAGCACCCAAACCTCAAAACAAAACCTGCCCATCTCAGAAGAGGCAGCAGCTGGCCATTGGCCTGTCCCCAAGATACACAGCCCCCGAGCTGCAGCCAAGGCAGCAACCAGTGAAGCTCCCCTTCTTATGGTTTCATTCATTCATTCATATTATTCAAAAGAGCCCCAAGCTGAAACCACCTTCAAAGTTTTCCACTACATTCTGGGGGTAGTCTGTTACATGGCAATAGATATAATAACGTTTTCCTTTAGAATCAATAACAACCACTGGTCATTAACATTTGCTATGTGCCAGGCATTCTTCCCATCACTCACAGGAATTCTGACCTCACAACAATCCAAGGAAATAGATAAGACTTCCCCCCATTTCATAGAAGGGAAACCGAGGTACCCAAGGTCACCCATAAGGAGAACAGGTAAACAGATGGAGGCGTCCTCAGACCATACCACTCCACAATAGAAAAGAATAGACTGCTAAGACCCACAATAGCATGAATGAACCTCACGATCATTATGCTGAGCATAAGAAGTCAAACCTCAGAGTCAGGCAGACCAGGAATCGGATCCCAACTCAGCCACTTCCTGGCTGTGTGGCCTTGGGCAAGTTGCTGAACCTTTCTGAGCCTCAGCTTCCTCATCTGTAAATCAGGGAAATTGCACCTGCCTATAAGAGGATGCTAGAATGATGAAATGAAATGATAATATTGACTATACCCTAAGTTCTCACTCAAAGGCTGTATTTGTTTTTAATTTTGATTTAAAGAGTCCTGCAATTTATGGAAGAGGAAGCAAATCTCCCCTATTCGTGCTCCATCTAAACACAAGGGTGATGGACTAGGCAGCCCTCAGTTTCCATGGAGACTCATGACAAGGACACCCACATAAAAGCTATTCCAACCATTTCCCAGGCTTGCCACATCTGACGATGGTTGTGCCCGATGGTTGGCTCTGGCCTGGCAGTTGTCCAGGCCACTGAGGCCTCCAGAAACACAGCTCTCGCCAGACAGATGATTCCGGAAGCTCTGATCCCCAGAGTTCCGTTTCACTGAAGCCAAAGGGTATCCCCAAGGCCCAGGCAGGGGTAGAACAGTATTCAGCCCTCGGACAATGTTTATGGTACCCCTGGTGTGTGCCAGGCATCATGCAGGGCCCTGGAACAGCCAGGGGAACAAGCACAGCCCCCTTCCTAAGGCCGACCAAAAGGCAGGAGGCACCAGATGCCCACAGAAACAGCAATTACAAGTATGACAAACTCTCCAAGAGAAGAGCATGGTGGGAAGAGAGAGACTAATGGGGGCGAACACTGAACAGAGGCGGGCAGGGAGGAGCTGATCAAAACCATAGGTTCTCTGAGCCAGGAAGGCCCTCCCCAAGGAGGAAACCAAGCCACAAGGGATGGAAGCACTCAGAACAATTGTGAAAGCTTAGCACACCAGCTCACTGAACCCTCTCAACAACCCGGTGAAGTATTGTAATCCTCACTTCACAGATTGGGGACGAGGGCCCACAGAGAGGAAGTGACTAGGCCCAGGTCACGTAGGAGGAAGGAACACAGCAGATGACACCCAGGTCTCACTATCTTGTCCTCTCCCTCCCAGAATCTGACTTCTCCTTTGAGTTTTTGCTCTCAAGCCAAAGGTTCATGGGTCTCAAAAGAACTGTTGGCCCAGACGGATTCATTTGCCTCTCAGCGTAACCATTATGGCTGGTCTCATTTTCGGTTCTTATAAGTATATTTCTTGTATCACATGATCTCAGGAATCTAGGGGAAATAATGAACAACATAAACTGATGAACAAAAATATACCTGGAGACAGGGAAGCATCAATCAGACTGTCAAACCTCAGAGGGAAGGTAGGGGAGGGTGGGGGAAAAGGGAAGAGATCACCAAAGGACTTGTATGCAGGCATATAAGCCTAACCAGTGGTCATGAACAACAGGGGGGTGGGGCATGCATGGGGATAGCTTTGGGGTAGGAATGGGGGGATGAGGACAATTATGTGATACCATAATCAATAAAAATAAATAAATAATCAACTAAAACAAACAAACAAACAAAAACACAAAGGTTCACTTAACCCCTTTATTTCTCCACCAAGGCACAGGGACAACAGACTATATTCTCCAGGAGGACAGGGAGCTTGTCTGGATTTTGCACACCCTGGGCCAAGCCCAACATGGAGTAAGTGCTAACATCAATAAAGGTGTTAAAGTAAAAGGGTAGCCTCATATTCTGATATTTTACATACACATTTAGAATCTTCTTAAAGGGCAGGTGCAATTTGAGAAATCCTCTTTGACCAACTGTGTTTACTAACGTTGTAATTACACAAAATACAATTGATAAAAGGTGTTCAAAACCGCTCTCGTGCCTCTATAAGGGAGTAGAGAGCGACCCTCAAGTTGATGATGATGATGATGGATGATGAGGACACGGTGGTACATTGAAAAGTACTGCCATTGCACCCACCTAAACAGGGGTCTATTTCCCCCTTCTTGGATCTGGGCTGGCTTTCTGACCGCTTTGACCAATAGGGTGAGACAGAGTAATCTTGTGCAAGCTCCAGAGCCCAGACTTTAAGAAACCTTGCAGCTTCTGCCTTCTGCCTCTCAGAATGTTCCTTTGAGACCTCCATGTAAGGAAGCCGAGCTCACCAACTGGAGGATGGGAGGCACCTGGAGAACAGAAGCCACAGCGGACAGCTGACCACAGACAGAGGGACTCTCTTAGAATCATGCAAAATAACAAACATTGTAGGTTTAAGCCCCTATGTTTTAGGGAATTTGTAACACAGCAATAGATAACAGAAACCATTATGATCACAATCAATAACCACTACCACTCATTTAGCAGTTACTATGTGCCAACCATTCTTCCAATGACCCTATACTAACTCATTTAATCCTCACAACCATCTGATAAAAGAGGATAATATTTTCCCCTATCTATAATAATAAAAGCATAATATGCTAATTAGACAGGACAGCCAGACGACCTTCCGGACAAAGCCAGGGCTGTGAGGGCCGAGGCAGCCACCGTGGCTGCAAGGGCCAAGCCCCTTGCATGATTTCATGCATTCGGCCTCTAGTTTTATACAGGAGGAGAAACTAAGATATGCAGAGGTAAAGTAGTTTATCTAAGGTCACCCACCCGTCAGCATCTGAACTCAGGATGGCCGGCTCCAGCCCATGAGACTCTCTCTGAAGCTGAGGGAAGAAGCCAGACGCATGCTCTCCACCTATCCTCTGGCCTCTGCAGACCCCATTCTTCTGGAATTCACATCATTGGCCCAAGTGGACAGACACAAGCAGAGCTGGAGGCTGACCCCTGGATTGACATACAGAGCCAATCCTCACCTTCCAAAGTCAGCAGGAACACCGGATTGGCAAACACTGAATCAACACTCCTGAGGGAAACACACAGGTAGGTTCCTGGGAGCCTTTGGTCACAACACTTTCAGCCACCGATCAACACCTAACCTCAACTGTGTGTGTTTCTGCGTAAAGACTCCTCATGTCATAAGTATTGTGAATTCAATAGCATTGCACTCACAGCCAACAGCAATGTGAGTTAGCGTCTGAACAAAACTGATCTAATACATATTCCCTTCTCCTCACAGCCTTCTTGTGCTTAGGAACATGGGATAGCATTGGGGTAGGGGGTGCATTTTAAACAACAGAATTTCCAACAAAAATGAGGAAAATGCAGCAGTTAATGGTTTGTGAAAAGGACACTTGTTGACAGCCTGAGAGCAGACACAGAAGGTAGCAGGTGGGAATGAGCTTGTAGGACGGCTAAACTTTTCATGGTTCTGTGCATGTCCGCAGATGCCTGCAAAAGTGCCACAAGACTTGCTCCAGGAGTTATGAATAAAGTTCAGCAAGTGGGCGAATTTGTCAATGTGGTTTCCACGAATAAAGAGACCTTCTTTGGATACTGCGAGAAAGCAGCCCTCCCGCCAGCAGGCCAGGTTGCTCATGCCACACGACCTGCTCTACAGGCCGGAGAAGGACCGGACACAGACAGGGCAGAGGCGGCAGGAAGAGGAGCTGACAGTGAGGGGCAGCTCCTGTTTCTGCTCCCACAGGCCCTGGTTCCTTGGACTCAGTAAGCTTCAGAGCCTTCTTCTCAGCCACATGTTCCAGGAAACTCTCTTTTTGGCTGAAGCTAGTTTCTGACCCCACACTAGGCAACAGATCCAGGCTTGTGCACTGTGGCTGGTGGCAACTGGACCATCAGATATACTCTCTGAAATCAGGACAGGTGTCAGTGAAGACGGAGCCAGCAGCAGCAGCAGCAAGAGGAGACAATCACATGCATATGTCTAGCAAGCGTGTGCATACACAGAGAACAGAGAAGCAGGGAGTCTCGGAGCAGCCCAATTCTGGCTCAAGTGCTTCCTGACTCAGGGCTTAAGTGCCCCCTAGAAACAGACTCTGAGACCAGGATGCACATTTATAAAGGAATCACTAGAAGGGACGGGGCAGTGAGTGGGAGGCAATGCAGTCAGCACAAGGTGTCACCAAGCCCAATGTCCCCATGGGTAAATGGGGCTTACACCACTAGGAACTCTGGAAGCCAGTGAGGGCACTGGGGTATCAACCCACCAGCTTCCCATCTGTCCCGCGTCCCCTCCAAAGGCATTCATTCTCCAGGACTGCCCTGCCCCAGAGGCCAAGAACCCTTGGGCACAGTCACAGGTGTTGGCAGAGGTTTGCCACGGAGCTCAGAGCAAGCACCAAGAGTGTCTTCTCGAGTTTCTGTCCCCTGCCACAGAACCACGCAGTCCAATCACCAGCGTGCTGGAGGAGACCGAGGCCCACCCCCCACCTACTACACTCTTCCCCCAAGAGCCACAAGCTCACGTCCTCACCTTGTCCAGGTCTGCTCAGAAGTCACCTTCTCAGAGAGGCCTTCCACACCCTGCCCCTCCCTGACCCGCCCTGTCTCCTGCCTGGCAGCTCTCTATTTTCTTCCACAGACATGTAATGTACTCAGTTACAATTTGCAAGGCCAGCTGCCAACCTGTGCCACACACATCAGCAGACAATCGATTACCAGGTCATAGGGCAGACCCAAGTCTCAGCATGCGCCGAAGCTGATCAGTGCTACCTGGGACAGGCCACACTTCCAGAAGGTTCTACTGGGACTACTCAATCATTTGCAGAAGCTGGAAGTGGATGCTCAGGCCCCAGGATCAGGTGCCACACCTCAATCTAGGACAGACACCCAAGCTGATGGCAAAGCCAGCAGACATGCACGATTCCACGTTTTCAGTCTCTGTGGGAAAATAAAGCCACCTGACTCCAGGAAGCGGGTCATAATTCACCATCGTGGTCATCAAAGCAGCTGCCACACAAAGAACACCTGTGCTGCCTGGGGAAGAAGGAAGAATGTGGAGATAACCAAGGTGAAAGCAAAAAGAGGAAAGAGGTATATTCTAGAACCCGCTGTATGATACAGTAGCTCAGGGGTGGGGAATCTTTTTTTTTTTTTAATTGATATTTTTAGAGAGAGAGGAAGGGAGAGGGATAGAGAGACAGAAACATCTATAGAGACAGGAACATCATCAATCAGCTGCCTCCTGCACACTCCACACTGAGGATGGAGCCCATGATACAGGCATGTGCTCTGATGGGGAATCGAACTGTGACCTCTTGGTTCCTAAGTCGATGCTTTAACCATTGAGCCACACCAGCAGGCAAGGAACCCTTTTTTCTGCTAAGGGCCATTTGGACATTTATAACATCATTAAGGCCATACAAAATGAGCCTGCTCTATTTGGTCAAACATTTAATTAACTCACCCCTAATGCCTTGGCAGGGCCAGACCAAAAGATTCTGCGGGCCTCATACAGCCCACGGGCCAGACGTTCCCAATCCCTGCTAGTTACTGGCCCGAATTGGCTATTGAGCACTCAAAACTAAATTGGTCCAAACTGAGATGGTCGGTGGGTATCAAACACACACCCGATTTTTTTTTAAATATATATTTTATTGATTTTTTACAGAGAGGAAGAGAGAGGGATAGAGAGTTAGGAACATCGATGAGAGAGAGTCATCGATCAGTTGCCTCTTGTACACCCCCTACTGAGGATGTGCCCGCAATCAAGGTATATGCCCTTGACTGGAATCGAACCTTAACCTTTCAGTCCCCAGGCCATCACTCTGTCCACTGAGCCAAACCGGTTTCAGCCACACACCAGATTTTGAAGACTCAGACCAAACACAAGAATTTTAAATCTCATTAATAACTCTCTTGTGTGTCCATGTTGAAATAATACTTTGGATATACCAAGTTACATAACATTTATTATTAAAATTAATGTCACTTCTTTTTCCTTTTACCTTTTTTAATGCAGTGTCTAAAAAAATTTTAAGTGATATACGTGGCTGGTATTTGGGTCACATATCTCTTCTGGACAGCGCTGTCTAGAAGTAGCCGGCCTACAGCAAAATGGAGAGGTTGGCAGCAATGTGACTGGGACGGGAGAAGGGGGGGCGGGGTGTCAGCTCAGATCTTTTGCCCACTTTCTAATTGGGTTGCTTGTTTTATTTTTGTTGAGTTTTAAGAGTCCTTTCATATTTTGGATACAAGTCTTTTATCAGCCATGTGTTTTGCAAACATTTTCTCCCAGTCTGCAGCTTCTCTTTTCAATCTCTTGATCTACATGTTTATGGCAGATGGTGGGTGGGGAGAGCGGGCCTGCTATATAGTTCCTCTAGGAAGTCTGGTACCCTTGGGCAAGTCACCCAAGCTCACTTGACTCACAGAAAAAGGGCTTAAGTCACTTAAGTCACTATTGATCCGTGGCCACACACAGGTGCTCTCGCTAAGCTTTCCAGAGTGCTACACTCATCTGCCCATAGCGAGCACCCCATGGCAAAGCGAGCACCCCATGGCAAAGCGATACTAAGGAAAGTGAAAGTAAGGTTGGAATGCTGCCCACAGAAAGCAAAGGGTTGATGAGAAAACATTGCATCAACTAAGACGCATACATAATGAGCTCTGTGTAACACAGAACAACGAGCCACCCAGGGAAATGCAAATCAGAACCACAGGGAGATGCGACTTCACCCCCACTAGTACAGCTATCATCAAAAAGAAAGATAATAACAAGTGTTGGCAAGGACCAGCAAAAACTGGAACCTCATGCAATGCTGGTGGGAATGTAAAATGGTGCAGCCACTTTGGAAAACAATCTTGGCAGCTTCTCAAACAATTAAACATAGAGTGATGTGTGACCCAGAAATTCCACCCTTAGGTATATATCCAAGAGAATGAAAACATAGCCACACAAAACTTGCACACACATGTTCACAGCAGCATTATTCATTAAGAGCCCAAAAATAGAAACAACTCAAATGTATACCAACTGCTGAGTAAATAAACAAACTGGTCTATCCATAAAGTGGAATATTATTCAGCCATAAAAAGGAATAAAGAACTCCTACATGCTACAACATGGATGAACCTTGGCAACGTTATCCTATCTATTAAAGACAGGATATGCAAATTGACCATCACTTCACAACAAAAATGGTGGCCCCCACAGCCAATAAGGAGAGAATATGCAAATTAATGCAGCAGCTGGCCCGGAGCGAAGGCGGGAGGTGGCAGCCAGAGGAAAGGCCCAGGTCCTGGATGCCAGAGGGAAACCAACGCTAGGCAGAAAGGCCTATTTTTGCACAAATCTTCGTGCATTGGGACTCTAGTCTATAATAATAAAAGTGTAATATCCTAATTAGACCGGGCATCCTTCTGGTCAAAGCCACAGCAGGTGGGGGCCAGAGCCAAGACCTTTGCATGAATTTCATGCATCAGGCCTTTGTATTAAATAAAACAAGTCAGATTCAAAAGGCTGTGTATTGCATGATTCAATTTATATGAAATGTCCAGAATGAGCAAATCTACAGGCATAAGGTAGATTCCCCCCTAAAAATAAAAGTTTTAGCTCAACAGCACACATTTACTGAGCAGCTAGCCTACTGGGGGCACCTGGTGCCAGACGCTAGACGTACAGAGACAAAACAGCACTCGCCTCAAGGAAGTAGAGTCCAGTCTTTTCATTCCACAACGGACTTTGGCCGGCAACTCGGCGAGCCATACGATTTTTGGAACCAGCTTCAAAATGGAAGGTCATTAAAAGCCTTATTCTTTATTTCTTAAGATTTTTATTATTATTATTGATTTTACAGAGGAAGGGAGAGAGAAGTAGAAACATAAATGAGAAGGAAAACATCAATTGGCTGCCTCCTGCACTGTCCTCACTGGGGATCAGGCCCACAATCCAGGCACGTGCCCTGACCAGGAATGGAACCATGACCTCCTGGTTCACAGGTCGACGCTTAACCACTGAGCCACACCAACCGAGCAAAAGCTTCTTGAGAAAGGAAAACAACTCCTCACCTATATCCCAGAAGAGGGCTGTTCCACTAGCACCTGGGCTGAGCAGTCAGCATCACCGGAACAAAATCCCAGCTGTCACCTTGGAAAGTTTCCAGGCCTCCCTCCATATCAAGTGTCTCACCGAGATCAGGAAAACGCCAACATCACGTGTGGTCTGAATGAGGACATGCCAGCAGCCCAAGCGCCTACATCTTCCTGCCATCACAGGTAGTCATGCTATTGTCATGGTGAGAGCCACAAGTCTTTAGGGGAATCGAGCTACTACTTTTAAGCCTGGACCAGAATAAATACCAAACCAGGTGGAGAAGAAAGCACAAACCACACTCATAAGACCCTTCGTTTGCAGGAGAATTCTGTATCTGTAACAGCTGGAAAAGCTGACAGATGCCCAGATCCTGGCAAGGGGGAGAAGACGCGTAGTGGAGGGTGACATGAGTTGGGGCAGCTTTCCTGAGGAAACTGAACACTCTGCCCTGAACAGTCTGTCCTTCCTCCCAGAAGTTTTTAGAAATTTATCTTATGGAAATGATAGGGAAGTGCCTAAGAGTTAGCTATAAACATGTTCAATCCCAGCCCTGGCTGGCATGGCTCAGCTGGTTGGAGTGTCGTCCCATACACTGAAAGATCAAGAGTTCGATTCCTGGTCAGGGGACATGCCTGGGTTGCAGGTTTGATCCTCGGCCCCTATTGAGTGTGTATGGGGGCAGCCAATTAGTGTTTCTCTCTTGCACTGATGTCTCTTTCTCTCTTTCTCCCTTTTCCTTTCCCTCTCTCAAAAATTAATAAACATATCCTCCGGTGAAGATTTTAAAAAAAAGTTCCTGGGATCAATGATGTGTGACACAGAAAAATAATAAACTATGTAATCTCCAAAAATAAGAGATTGGTTAACAAATAAGACTAAAGTGGAAAACTATAGCCATTTCAAACAAAACAGAAGCATATATTTGGAAAATTTTTCACAATTGGAAACAACCATAATGAAAAGGACAGATGAATTCTCAAGGTGTACTGAGGCCATTAACAGCAGTCAAATATAACACTACCAATAATGATGTGGACACCTAATAAATATATACTAGTTATAGAATAAAAATTTTTAAATAAATGTAAAACATATGCATGGGAACAGTAATTATCACATGACACTGGTTTCTCTAGGTAATGAGGGGTGTATATATAAGGACTTAGCAATATTTATAATATTTTATTTCTTAAAAACAAACAGTCCTAGCCAGTTTGGCTCAGTGGATAGATCATCAGCCCGCAGACTGAAGGGTCTCGGGTTCAATTCCAGTCAAGGGCACATAACTCGGTTATAGGCTCAATCCCCGAGTCAGTCAGGGCATGCCAGAGGCAACCAATCGATGTCTCTTTCACATCAATGTTTCTCTCTCTGTGCCTCTCCCCCGCCCTTCCACTCTCTCTAAAAATCAATGGGGAAATGTCCTTAGGTGAGGATTAACACAACAACATAAAGACTCAAAGCAAATACTATGATTTGTCTAAATTGTTTTGAAGGGTGTATTCATTTGCTGTTGCTGCCAAACAAATTACTACAAATTTAAGTGGCTTAAGACAACACAAATTTATCATCTTACAGTTCTGGAGCTCAGACATCCAAAGTGGGTCTCACTGGGCTAAAATCAAGTTGTCAGCAGGGCTCTGGGGAGAATCCGTTTCCTTGCCTTTCCCAGCTGCTGGAGGCACTAGCATCCCTTGGCTCATGGAACCCCTCCTTCCTCAAAGCCTCTGATTCCATCCCTCTGACTCTGCTTCTGTCATCACATCTTCTCAGACTCTGACCCTCCACCCTCCCTCTTTCAGGAGGACCCTTTAAATGACATCAGACCCACTCAGGTAACCCAGAATAACTCTCAATCTCAAGGTTATTAACTGAATCGCATCTGCAACGAGCCTTTTACTATAGTATAGCATAACAGAGTCCTAAGTTCTGGAGATTCAGAAGTGGACATCATGTTATAGTAACAATAGCAACTGCAGCTGACTCTTACTGAGTGCTGCGGGACCCTGAGGCACTGTCCCAGAGTGTGCCGCTTAACGAGCTTACCGAATCCTCCTGAGAATCCAGTGGAGAAGCACCACTACGATCTGACTTTACAGACGGGGACAGTGAGAGCTAGGTAGCTTGGCCAGTAGCTTGGCCCTGGTCACAACGTGGTAAGCGTCAGTCAGACCCCAGAAGGCTTGCTCTTGAATACGTCAGTGTTTGTCATCTTAGTCTCCACATTCATCTCAATGTCTAAAATAGCTCAGTGACAATAATAAAACATGGTCCCAGTGAAACACAAGATGAAAGGGGCATATTATTTAAAAGTATTATAAAAGGACTCATTTTATAAAATTGGATCTATATCTTGCAAAAAAAAAATATCTGGAAAGGTGTACACAAACTGGGTGGAGGGTTGAGGGGGGGTGAAGGGGCTGTTACCCTGCCCAACTGTGGTTAAAAATG